CCCTCTCCTTGTTTCCTCTAGCCTCCCTGGGCCAGTGAGTATTCCATGGTCCTTTTTATGTTTTACTTCCAGAAGCTCCTGAGTAGTGCAGGGTCGGCCTGGGCTTCCCTTCTGTCCTTCTCTCTTTGCTTGGGCCCCAGGCACTCCTGGGCATGAAGTGGCCTGTCTTCCTCTTTGGAATGCTCTGGCTGCTGGCCTTGCTCCTGCTTCCCAGGAGGGAAGCGCCCTGTGGTCTCTGTCCTCGTTCAGGAAGGTGCAAGCCCTTGTGCCAAGAATAACGGTTAACCTGGTAATTCGTACTTCTTAAATTTTAGAAAATGAAGTGAAATATGATGCTAATAACAACGAGGAGGAGGAGGGGGAGCAGTTCGATTTTGACAGTGGAGATGAAGTTCCGGAAGCAGACCGACAAGCCCCGGCAGATGCTGGGGCCCAGGGCCAGGAGGCAGGTGAAGCCTCCTCCCCTGCTGGTGAGTCCCACTTGCCTTTCTTCACAGTGTGGCCCTGCGGGGAGTCACCCAGGTTTTCCATCTTCAAGACTACAGGCCTGGGCTGGCTTATTGAGCAGGGGCTGCTGAGCCCGAGCTGTGGTCCAGGGTCAGTCACCAGGCTGTGTCCATCTCACCTGTCCCAGAGGGGGTGTGGAGCCCAGTTCTGCAGTGTGCTGCATGGACTGTGGTCTCCTATACACACGGAGGGCACCCGCCTGCCCTTGAGTGCTCTGACAGGGGACCTTCCGCCCTCCAGGAGGCGAAAACGGGACCAGCACAGAAGCCGAGGCAGTGGCAGAACCTGCCCCCCTTGCGGCCCCAGCCAGAGTGAACCCCTACTCCGTCATCGACATCACGCCATTCCAGGAGGACCAGCCGCCACCCTCCGACCTGAGCGCCGAGGAGGAAGCCATGGGTCTGCAGGTGCCCAGCGGGTACTCAGTGCCCGTGCCCTGCGGCTACGCTGTCCCCTGCAGCTTACCCCTGCTGCAGCCAGCCTACTGCAGCCCCGCCATCATCCGCACGGAGTCTGCGGAGGAGGAAGGTACTGCGCCTGCTCCCTGGCACAGCAGGGCGTGCCGTCTTCCCTTCCCCACCCGAGTCACCCTCCTGCTCACTGGGTGGGATCAGTGCTCTCTTCCACAAGGCACAGATAAGGAGGGCTTTGAAATCGAGGCTGAGCCTGCGAGTCTGGCCCCTGAAGACCAGGGAGCCATAGGTGACCTCTGGCAGTGCCCAGGCCCCACACCTCCTCTGGCACCAGGGAGCCATAGGTGGCCTCTGGTAGTGCCACCAGGCCCCACACCTCCTCTGGCGTTCACCGTCACTGTTCCGCTGCTGGCTGGATTTATGTGTGTCCTGATACACCTGTCGACCCACAAACCAGCCCGTCCTCTGAGTTGTTGTCCAGCTGTTTCATTTTCAGTGAGGAGGGGTGAGGAGGGAAGGAGAGACAAGGGCACACTCTGCCTGGGAGGTGTCTCCTCTGCCCGGCAGCAGGCCTGCAGTGGAGGCCCGGAGATGCTCCAGAGCTGGCCACACCAGTGAGGTGCAAGAAGAGACCTTGGGGAGAGGCTGGGGAGAAGCCTAGACCCCACAGCCATGCCAGGGTGTGCAGCGAGGCACTGGGGATGACAGGTGTTCACCCATCTCTCCAGCCTGTGTCCTCAGTTCTGGGGTGGGGGCAGTCAGTCTCTGCCTTCCTCTCTACCCAGAGGCTGCGAGGGTCTCGAGTGGCTGGGCTGAGTTAGCTAGAGATGGCCTTCTCACAACGTGAGCGGCATATGAGAGTGGCCCAGGTGTGAGTCGCCGTTGTGCTCTGTGGGGAGTTTGGCAGAGATCCTTTTCTTTCTAGTTAGCAGCAATTTAAGAGAAACACCTTCCTTAAAGAAAGCTCTTGATTCTGGAAACCACAGAGGGCTCGTAGGAGAGGTGTCTCCCGCCTGTCTTTGTTCTGCAGTGGGCCACGAGCCATGGTCTGTCCTTGGTCTGGAACCACGAAGCTGGCCCGTCTGCAGACCAGGGAGTGTGTCATGGAGACTTTCACTTAAGAAAATGTGCTCCTTTTAAAGTGCTCTGCTTGTATTTAAGTTGTTTGGTTATTTAGCGATTGAACATCATTTAAAGTAGCTTAAAAATCACTCAGCATAATCTTAAAACAACTGCTGATTATTTTTACTGTCAACCAAGAGCCTGTAATAAAGTCATGTTGTGGTCAATTCTGCCGTGAGTCTTGGAGCCGAGGAACAAGGCCGTTTGTGTTTATCTTTTGAAGAGAGATGAACACTGTGACCTCTTTCCAAGGAGGGTTGGTCTTGGGCAGGTCCAAAGCCTGCTTGCCTTTCAGCTTCTGGTGCCAGGATTCTGCCCTGGAGATGGGGACCGCTGTGACCCTTAGGATTGTCTTGGGACACTGTGCTAGCCTGGCCCCTTCCCACACGGGGCCCTGGCCTGCTGTCCAAGGCCGTCCTGAAGGCCTCTGAGACAGGTGCTGCTTTGGTTCCCGGGTTGTCTTCTGCCAGCAGAGCGCAGAGCACTCACAGTGCCCTGTGTGGTGAGCATGCTCCCCTGGCCCCTGCCCCACGTCAGAGCTCTCGTGTTCTGGAGGACACCCACCTTGCACTTTCCTTCTTGAAAGGAGGATCCGAGCCGGGAACTGCAACCTTCTGGGGGTGGGACATGTGGAAGCCCCTGCAGTGAGAAGTTGGGTGGGAGCAGGCTGGGAGGCCTGCCTGAGCTCCCGCAGCACTGGGCACAGAGGCCTGCTTCTGTGGCGTGGCAGTCCTGCCTGCTGTGTGCAGTTCCTTGCCCTGCACCTGTGCCTGGACTCTGCCTTCATCTGTGGAGTCGCCAAGCTGGCTGAGCTCTCTTGGCCTTTGAGTCAGCTGTCCAGCAGCTGACTGGGAATGGTGGCTTACCCATCAGTGAGTCCCTTTTGAGGGCTCTGTGTGGACAGTGGAGACTCATTCTCTTGCTGGCACCTGATTGGCTGTTCGTCAGCCATCTTCTCATGTAGGATGGCCTTTGCCATGATCTCCTCTCTCAACACCCACACAGGGCTGAGAGGAGGATGCCTGGTGGAGCCCAGGCGCCCGAGTCGGTCCTGTGCAGAGAGTGAGGTCACGCTTTCTCCCCTGACGGCCATCTGCACTGGTCCATAGATGCCCCTGCAAATAAATCAGATTGTAAATTCCCACGGTCACTGGAGCTAGAGGGTCGTGTGCTTCGACCTGCAGCCTGATCTGTCTGCACCTCCCTCCGTGTGCTTTGTTTGTTCTGTCATGACCCCATGCTGAGCACATCTGGCCTAGGAACTGGAGGCTTTTAAGCCTCCCAGCCATCTTTATGGTGGCAGAAGCCTGTGGTGAGAAGGAGCTGTGGACTCTCATGAGAGGAGTGATGACCGCTCACACACTCTGGGATGTAAAGCATGGGTTCTTCTTGCCCAGCAGGAACTCTGGAGGTTGCTGAGGACCACCAGCCTGCTTCTCTAAGTTCTGCAGACCCTCCACTCAGGTAGGTCACTGTATTATCCTGAGGCCCTGCCTGCTCAGGTGGGCCGCATCCACTGACCCCATGTGCCTGGTGCCCGCCCTTCCCTCAGCCTTCTGCTGCCCACAGCCCGGCCCCCTTCCTGCCTCAGGCCCCTCCAAGTGCTGCAGGCCTCCCTCAGGCCAGTGCGTGGTCACCAGATGCCTTGGGGCCACCCAGCTGCCCCAGGGCCATGGGCTGTGGGCCTGGGCAGGGCTGTGCTGTCTTCAGCATGGCTTGTTCTCCCCTTCAGGGTTCAGGGTTGAAGGACCTCAGACCTGGAGCCTCCCACAGACAGGCTTCTGGGGAGGAAGACTGTCAAGACCCCCACCCACTGCCAGTGCAGGCTGGTTCAGGAAGCCTGCCTGGAGCCCATGACTCATGAGTCACTGCGAGAGGGCGAGAGGGCGGGGATCGCAGCCACAGCAGCCTGAGGCTCGCCAGGAGGCGGGATCTTCCTGAAGGGGAGGAACCAGGAGGCGGGATCTTCCTGAAGGGGAGGAACCAGGAGGCGGGGTCTTCCTGGAGGGGAGGAGCCAAGAGGCGGGGTCTTCCTGGAGGGGAGGAGCCAGGAGGCGGGGTCTTCCTGAAGGGGAGGAACCAGGAGGCGGGATCTTCCCGAAGGAGAGGAGCCGGGAGGTGCAGGTTTTCTGAGGGGAGGAGCCAGAACGGAGCCCACAGAAGGGGGGGTTTCCAG